ATAGAAAATTGGTGACATCAATAAATAATTCATTATTATTTTTATCATTTTTAGTTGGCATCGATGAGCTCAGCGTAGCAACTTACAATTCTCTTTGAATATACCGTTATTTTTCTAAAAATAATAATTCAATTAAATTTCAGTACTTTTCTTTAAAACAATGAATTTCCTTAACCTATTCATTTTTTATTACCTCCTTTCATATTCCACTGTGTTAGATTGTTTTATTTAATCATTCCAAGTTTTTTTTCGGCCAACCTCGCCTTCTTCAGTCAATTTTCCAAAAATTAACCTATCTGGGCAATCTCCTTTTAGGCATTCTATTTAACATGTACTTACAACCGGAGGGACGTTTTACCTATCTTTTCCAGATCGTTTTTTTCTTCACCTTTTTCTCAAGAGACTTGGATTTATTACGAATTAAACAATAAAGTAAAACAATGATTACTAACGGCAACCTAGGGTATTGTTTTTTATTATTTTTTGATATTTCTAAAAAGAAATATGAAACCCGCTAATAACTTTAATTATTTTAACGAAACATTAACTTTCCCTGCTAATAACACAAGGAATTGATTTTTGTATTTCCCAGAATTAAGGTCTTTAAATAATTCACTGGTGTTAGAGCAAACCTTAGAGGAACGTTTTCACTTATATATTTGGTGAAAAAGTTATATACATTTTTTTTTTATAGATAAATGGGTACTTCAGTAATAATTGATTAAAATACATTCTAGGTTATATATGAAAATAAATAAAATGTTTGCAATATTTTGTTATAATTTGAAAAAAAAAAATTGTAATTTAAGGAACCAGAAATTCAAACTGCATAGTATTTTTACTGAACTCGATCCGAATTTCATCGTTTATTGTTAATAACCTCAACTTAATTAGCAGCACCGAAAGCTTTTTAAACAAGGTAGTTTTTCTAAAGCTAGGAAATCTGTAGTTAAATTGGAGAGTGATAAAAAAATTCACGAATAATTAACAATATTATGAAGAAAATAATTTGAGGAGTGTCGCCTCTTAGCACTATTCGAGCTAAAATTTAATCATTTAAATAGACTGATTCGCAATCAATACCAATTTTTTCTTTTTTTTTAATGGATGAACATGGATTTCATTGTGTGACGACAATTGAGTCGCGAATCTTCACCGATATTTTTAATATATATATATATATATATATATATATATATATATATATATATATATATATATATATGTATATCAGAATTAATTGTATTATTCAATATATATTTTTTAAGCATCTTGATGTTCAATTCTAATATATAATACGATATTCAGTCAAAGTTTCGAGACTTCATTGCTCTCATATTCATGTATAGTCCGTGGTACAGACAGTTTTTTTTATCAAATTATTAACATCCGGCTGAAACTTCACAAATAGCTACATCTCATCGTAACTTATAAATATGTCATTTGCCAATATTCTCGAAATTGGGGCATTTTCAGTCTAGAGGTCGGAAAACATTGTCTATTTAATTAACTACTAAAAACTTGGAAGGTTGAGTTCAAAGTTAACTTGAGATCAAATTCGAGAAAAAGGGTGGCCTTAAAAAAAGCCATTTAGCCTGCACCCACAAATTGTCAAAATAACGAGGTTATATATGCCAAACGACTCAATATTTTTGTGGGCCATATTTTTTATCGATTTTGCGATCAAATTGTCCTACAGTTAACGAATCGTAGGCAGTGGAGACTTTATATATAATGGTTTTCTTCATAATGTTATAAATGGCATCTAAAATACAGAGTAATATAATATGGATATATGACTTGACTACATGCGTTCACTCCAGGTCTCCTACAGTGAAGAGTATGACTCAAGAATGCAACTACATGAGTGGTTTGGTCTTAGAAGGATGCGGGTTATATGCTCAGGAATAATAGGGGGATGAATCAATTCTGGACGGTATAAGAAGCGTGTGAATGAAATTATATCTATTAAGAATTGATATCCTTATCTTTTAGAATTGATATGAAGTCTGTGAGAATGTACTCTTTAGCTGAAATCGGTTATTGTTCCCTAAGTCTTGAAAAGTGCCTTCTGTCCAGTCAGTACATTCTAGATAACTATTTCTAAGCTATCAGAGACAGCTTGACCTGGCTATCTAGGGCAGTTCTTTTATGATTGGCTTATCAAATATTAAGCTATATATTATTAAAGGTAAATTAATATTATCATTATTAATATTTGTTACGGATTAAGTCCATTCCGTAACTTTACAATCTATGTTCCTAGGTCACTTTTTTTTTGGATTTTCGTTTAAATGAGGAAAACTACCCATCGCATCGACAAAGACGTTCTATACAAAATCAGAGCTGATAACTTTTTCAGTATGATTGATGACTATGACAACTATGACCAATTTTGAAAAAAAATTGGTCATAAAAAAAAAAATATATATGTAGTTAAACATTCAGTCTCTGATTTCCTCCGATTTAATAATATAGTTGTAATACGTCAATAGTTAAAATATACATTCTTAGTTTTAGTAATTTGTATAATAGTGTATAAAATTTATTTTCTAAAAACTTGTCAGAAATACCATTTTTTTTTTCATATTAGGACGTGTCTGAAAACATCACAAATATATAGTTAAATATTTATTAAGACCGAACATCAAAATCATTGGAAAAATACTCATACAACTTTACGAGTGACGATTTTTTTTCTATTTTGAACTTACACTTATAGAAACTACAATAGTTCTCAAAGTCGTTACGACTGTCTATTTCAATAATGTTAATTCAGATGAATTACTAATTTTTTTTTTTTTCAATGTATGAATTGAAAATATTTTTAGTTATGAATGGTGCACATGATATCCGTCAGAAAAATCCTATGACTGTTGAACGATAACCTTCTAGACTGATAAAACACACAAAATAATTAAAAACACTCTAACTAATTAAATACAAAATAAATGAAATTTATTTCACAAGGATGCCGTTTTGTTAAAGTCATCTCACATTGAGTTTTATTTCACTTCATCGAGGTTGCAGAGTATCTCTTGTTGAATCAGATGTACACTTCAACAATAGGGTTATTTTGTTTTTGTTTTTAATAATCTATAGCCCATATGAGGAACCTCCTTATCATTAGAGGTCGCAGTAAGGTGAGGCAGTGCTAATGGAGCCCGCAATAATTCTTTATATTTTACCGTTGCTATTTTATTTATCACTAAATACACACACCCACATACATGCATTAAACTTAATTCTATTAATTTCGAAATTTTCGTTACTTAAATAATTAAATATTAATTAATGCTAGCACTAGATTCATAAATATCACTCAAAAACGGATTGCGCACAGAGTTTTAATTATGGTCTTAGTCTCGCCCAAAATTCTTGCAGTTACCTATAAGCTTATTGCTATTTGTAAAACATTTTACTTTAGATCTTAGTAAAAAAGCTGCAGAATAGGTTCATTTAGATATTTTATTGACATAAGCATCTTAACGTACAGTCAAATTAATAAAATTAACTTTACAATACATTTATCATAAATGCAATGTCAAGAGGAGTAGTGAAAGGCTTCTTACTTGGGATGGACGAGTTTTAGATAAATACCAAAAATGAATTACACTAAATTTCCTTAGAAATCATTACAGTACGATTCCTTTGATGAGCTAAATCAACATAAACAGGCAAGGAAAAATTATTCAAATCGGTGTATAAAATTCAATATACTGTAACGATGAGAAAACCGGTCTGATTTAGACAATATTTTAATAAAGGAAGGAGATGGTCCGGGGTGGCGGTCATAAATAGTGGTAACTATTTTTATTAAAAGCCAACGTTTCCACCCGACTTAGCATCTCTTCTTCGGGCTAGAACGGACAATATACAAAAGAATAGGATAAGGGCAGGTATAGGAGAAGCTGACTTGTTTGGGTAATGGGGAAATTTTGATACTGTAATTTTCTAGGTTTTCCCCATTACCCAAACAAGTCAGCTTCCCCTATACCTGCCCTTACCCTGGTTTTCCAATTCTAAGTGAAACTCCTAGCTGAACACACCTGTAAGTCTCTAATTTTATTTTTCCAATTTTATTTACTTACTTATTTAATTTTTTTATTTTCTTTTTTCTTTTCTTTCTCCACATTCCTTAATGTCTCTTATTTCATATTATATCTTTTTCCTTTTCTTTCAATCTTTCCTGTAGATCTATAGAACTATATTTACATTTGCATTTATTATATATTACACTACAACAATTGTTAGCATCTATTTACTTCAGTTTAGGATATTGTTACTTAGCTTACTCATATTTTAATGTGCTTACTATTTATAATTTTAATAAGCTTGTTCAAATTGTTTATAATTTTTTTTCTAAATATTACGTAACTTCCACAATTCTCTATCTTTTTGTATCTCGTCCGTTCTAGCCCCGAAGAAGACCTGCAAAGTCGGGTGGAAACGTTGGCTTTTAATAAAAATAGTTTTACCACTATTTAGCATATTTATGACCGCCACCCCGGACCATCTCCTACGTTTATAATACAACGGTCGACTACTAAATATTCAATATTTTAATAGTTTTGTCGATCAGCCTCGCTCAATCTCCACTGGGTTTAGCGAGTTACCTGGGTTTACCTTTGACGCGACTGAGAGAGAAGTGCAGGGATCTCCTGGAGTCATGCTTTTCCCTCCACAGTTGGAGGGACAAATCTGGCTCGGAGCTCTCTCGCATGATTGTAAATAGTGTATATAGGTATGTATTAAATGGATAGTTATCAAATGTGAGAGTGCTGGATTATCATACTTATATTAATATTGAAAGAGGCTTTAAAGTGGTGATCTTAAATTATCTACAGACGCCCAAATATAAGGAATTAATTGTGAATTCAGGATTTCATAATAATTAAAGAATTTACTATTATACACTTTATTTTTTTTTAACGCTTGAGATCTCCGCTAGAGAGGGCGGAAAGAGAGAGTTCCCCACACAACCCCCAGACGGACGTTCATTAAGAGAGCCGCGAAGAAGAAGCCTTGGCTAATGAAGAAGACAGGGGGTGGTTCCTAAATTTAGAGCCGGGACATGTGTTTAGTCTAGACCCCGCCTCATTACTCCCGCCGGTCACTCGCACTTTTTGCCCCGCCCCATCTGCTCTTCGGTCTCTTTTTATATAAAAACCACCTGTTGTCTTGGGGTACCTGCTGGGTGACCGATAGCAAGCAACAGTAAACAGATCCCCGGCGCTGGAGGCCGCAGGGCGATTGTTTGCTTTGATTGCTTGCCCGGCTCGAAAAGGAAAACCTAACAAAACAAATACCACTTTAAAAAACATACTACGAATAACGGGACAGTGAGTTTTAAAGAAGTAGAAGAATGTTTTTCAATTTCTTAAAAGGATTGACTAATCCTTCATATTAAGCTGTTAGTATTAACTGACTGTGACCACAGTCAGTGGGGCACAGATTTCAACCAAATTTGTTTTCTGTGATACAACATAATATAATATTAGACACATGTCTCCGCGTTCGGTCCAATTGGCCCTAAGAACCGACAAAAATTGTGCGAATGAAAACATCAGTAATTCAGGTTTTCAACCTGAACCGCCAGTCTTTGAAAGTTGAATTTGGACAAAATCCTGAAGAGAAAATAAAGTATTAAAATTTTATTTCTTTAAATATTAATATTTAAGAATTTAAGAGCAATCTAACTTGGTTTTATAATAACAACAGAAATTTACTTTAATAAAAGTGTATTTTGTTTTTGTAATTTACAATAAAGTACAACCCAGTATCTATATCCCAATCACTAAAATATTTTTTTCTTTTTTTGCAACAAAAAAAAATGACATTTCTTTTAATATATATATTTTTTTTTAACTCGACTTCTAAGGCCCGTTGGATTGAATACCGGGTAATGTGTCTAATATTTTTCGTTGTAGTTCCATCACAAGAAATTTGGTTAAATTCGATGACTCATCAATACTAACCTAGCCTTGTAATGCACAAAAAGTACGAAATAAGACCTTCTGGATAAGAAGATGAATTTTAACAAACCTTTTCACCCAATGAACCATCCAAAATTTTGGAGAAATTATAATAGTCGATTCAACTAATGTATTCTGAACCTCACTAAATTATGGATATAATTATTGATGTTAATACGTCTTTGTTTTTGCCAGAGTTGAGAGCCGTTTTATTATAATATCTAATAAGAAAATCGGAGAATGATTATTAAATAACGCATAGTCCAAATCCATTTATTTGTGCATTATCTGAAAGTCAAAAGATGAGAGAATTTGTTAAAATAAGGAAAAGAAAGCGACACTGATAAATCCGATTCACGGAAATTTATTGAAAAATAATTTTATAATTTAAACTAAAGACCCTGCCAGGTTCTTCCTCCACCTTTTACCAGTACCAGTGCCCCCCTCAAAAATTGAAAACGCCATAAAAATGTGCCGATTTCTAGATGCTATGTATTGAATATTTGCAATATATACGTTAATTATGGAAATTAGTTTTTGAAAAATGGATTGTGTATATATACATATATACTGGGACCATTTTCAAGTCTTATTGAGTCCTCCATTAGATATTCATTATTAATGTCGTATTAATTTGTTTAGAGAAAAATTAAATTGTCCTGCTATTTAAGAGTTTCTCCTACGTTATTTCTTGGGGGACTGAAATACACATACACACACACACACACACACACACACACATATATATATATATATATATATATACAATCCATTTTTCAAATGGATATAAATATATATATATATATATATATATATGTGTGTGTGTGTGTGTGTGTATGTGTATTTCAGTTCCCCAAGAAATAACGTAGGAGAAACTCTTAAATAGCAGGACAATTTAATTTTTCTCTAAACAAATTAATACGACATTAATAATGAATATCTAATGGAGGACTCAATAAGACTTGAAAATGGTCCTAGTGATGGTCGAAACGTCGTAATAAGATAAAATGTTGATGAATAATGGCTAATTTATATAACAAATAGAACCTCAAGACGCCAATTTTAGGAATAATGAACAGAATATATATATATATATATATATATATATATATATATATATATATATATATATATATATTTCTTTATATTTAATTTAATTAGTTTTATATCTTTTTATATAATATATATATATATATATATATATAAAATAAAAAAATCATTGTAACTCAAAGGAGTATCTGTTAGGACATGATGTTAACAGCAACGGAAGCGACCGTCAGATCCGAGCGGCTAATTAATTTATCCATGGGAACCGAAATATAAATTAGACTGTTTGACTGCCCCCCTCTATGAAAAAATTTAAATCATCGTCGGAAGAGGTCACTAACTCCGCTGAGATTGTTGGGGGTTGACTGAACTTTTACTGTCCTATACGATGAATGTTTATGCCCTATTTCTTCAATGAAGAAAGTAAGTGCACTTAAAAAAAAAAAAAATATGTCCTATGATTGTGATTTAAAATTAAATCAATTTTGAAATTATATTGAACGTGGTGGAAATAATAGTAAATATTTAAAGAGGTGATAACAGACAAGATCTACAAAAACATTTATGTTGACCATAGTTCGATTTCTAGCAGAAATGCACATAATATAAGTTTTGAAACTTTTTAAATTGGATTCAAATGTATAAGTGAAAAAAAAAAGGAAACATATAAACACATAATGTCTTAAGGGAATATTTTTTTCTGAAGAACATTTATCGGGTAATAGCTTATCACTTTAGACAATAATGTATATGATTTCCTTTTGAAAAAAATAAAAAAATTTTAAATATTATTTATATTAATATTAATTAATTTAATAGAAATATAATAGGTCACAGAACAAAATAATGACTTAAAATTATTTATTGTAAATATTTTTGGTAAAATCAGCTATCTCGAGGGGACAAAATTTTACATGACACAATACTTTAGAAAATTGGCGGTGAATCTTAGCAAATTTTGTAACAAATCGGAAATTAGTTAATATATTCTTAATTCTTATTAAACAATGGAGTTCTTCAAAAAGTGTGAAACCATTTGTTCTTTGCTGACTAAAAAAATCGCGAACAATCCATATTTTTTTTAAAACTAAAAATTGTTTCCTCTTCGACAGATTTTTTTCAGTTCGGCAGGGCTCGGAAATGTCTTCAGTTCGTCCATTATTGGCAGGAGTTCCCCAAGGTTCAATACTAGTCCCTCTACTTTACGTCATATACACTTACGATATACCTATTGACGATCAGAACTTGACTGCTACTTATGCAGACGATATAACAATCCTCACAAAATATCAAGACCCTACACAAGCCTCACTAACCACATCTCTACAACACTTACTTAAACTACAAGATTTGTTTACACTATGGAAAATTCGACTTAATCATGACAATATATATATCCAACATATCACGACAACGTATCCAAACATATAACATTTACTCTTCGGGAAAACACATGCCCTCCAGTTTATATTGACAACAATCAAATTCTTCAAACGGACACGGTACTTTACCTTGGACTCACCTTCGACAGAAGGATGACATGGGGCCACATGTTAAAATGAAACGTATGACACTTAACAAGCGACTCAAACTACTTTACTCTCTTTTTGCCAAAACTAAAACTAAAGCAGAAATTGATTACATATACATACTTACTTAAACCCATATGGACGTACTCATCACAAATATACGGTGTCGCTAAAAAGACCCACCTACAAAAACTTCAAACGTTCCAATCAAAATTTTTGGGACTCATAACAAAAGCTCCTTGGTACGTGACTAACAACACTCTACATACTGACCTCCACCTTTCAACAGTTGACCAACATATAACGATCCTTTATCGACGATTTTACACAAATTTAAATGGACATAATAACAGACTAATAAGAGACATGGCCACAACTGCTGAGTACTTTCCTTCCCCATGCCTGTCATGTCATAATTTCATGTTTCGCCATCACATTTGCTGACTGTCAACAATAAGTTGGCAGGCGCAAATATATTTTTTTATAGACAAAAAAAAGTTGTTTGTTATCTAAAAAGCCAAAGGCAATTATCTAAATTAAATATTTTTTATATTATATTATTTTCATTAAAATAACTTTACTCATTAAAGAAAACAACTCAAATTTCATATCTTAAGAAATATTCAAAGGTTATTAATGGTATCATTAAAAGCTTTAAATAATGACATTGCAGAAACACAAGTGTTACGAGCTGAATTAATTATCCATTCGATATCCCGAAGATGTTTCTGATTCAGCTATAGAGACTTATATTGTAGCTGACACCTACGCAACCGTTGCCATTGATGGATTGGGAGATGAAGTCCTGAACTCGCTCATTAGGTGACCCCCTTAGAGTCCGACGAACTTGCGATGATTAGCCAAAGGTCAGGCCTATCTGATCTCGGTGCCTTTATTGAGTCGGGCCTCAGGAGGACCATAATTTCGGAATAAAGCTTGTTATTAGGCCGCTTTTAGTTAGGGTTCCGTTCTCACACTACTCAGATAAGGCAAGTTTCTTCAATTGCTGCTCAAATTATAATTCGGTAGCTCGGTCATCTAGAAGTAATCAAAAGATTTTTAATTATAGTAAAAGTACGTGTATATTTTGTTACTTGATCAAATTACGGAACGACAAAGGGCTTAAAATTTACAATTGTTACCAGATATCCACTGCTCAACTAAAACTGCGTATGTCCATTGTGGGGGCACTGGCGAATCTATGGATAACAGGGAGAGAGAAGGGGTGAGCTTTCGGGCTGAAACTCCTTCAAATTAGGAAATATATATATATATATTGTTCAAAACCTTTCCGATTCTCTCCGGCGTCATGTCAAAATACAATCTTGGTTTATAGCTTATTAAAAAGAGGACGAAATGCTGAAAATTCCCTTCGCTTACGGTATGCGGGTGTGAGTTTCAGTTTTTGAGATATTTTAATCCATATGTTCAACAAAACTGTAATCATATGGATTTTGACATGTTTCACTATTTAGCTTAGAACAGTTTTTCCAGCTTCAAAACATCCATTCTTCTTCTTCTTTTTTTTCCATTTGACAGACCATTACTTGAGCAGTACTCCAGTCCCTGAACACCAGGATCGTCCGGTCAGCTTCTGCTACGCCCTCCATCCATCTAAGACTTCTATCTGATAAAAAATTTTCTGTTTTTTCTTCCACCCTATCGTCTCTGAATAAAAATATCATAGTGCAATCTCGATTTTATTCAGGTTCTTTATCACTTGAATTCTGCCGCAGCTCAAATTTACACATTTTTAAAAAAACGCGATTATCGAATTCTTACCAAAATAAATAACATGACTCAACCCGTTGAAAATCCAAAGCAATTATGTTTGGTATGAGATGTTTAAACGAATTCTTAAAACTCAAACTAACATATAGTTTCAGATTGCGTTGAAAAACGAAAATATATATTAACTATTGTAAATGATTCCTGTAAACTGCACATCCCCATGTTTACTATTAATTGATTGTGTTGATTTTTGTGTATTTTTTATACATTTGTTTGTGAATCAATAGCAGTCATCTTAAGACCGTGCACGAAAAATTGGGTAGGAATGGTTAGTACTAATCTACGAACTAGTTTTTCGAAACCTATTTTTTTTTTTTTATTATACTCCTCTAAGTTTTAAAATTTAAACGAATAATTTTTATTGAAGACAGAAGTGGCAGAAAGGAGCATCGTTATCTGTCATGTTTATGGGCGTCATCAATAACTCCTAGAACAAATCAGTGTCAGTTATTACAATTAATAAAGTTACGGTACATTTATTCAGCTGATCAATTAATTTTTTTTTTATTTAATCAACTTTTTTTATCTTCAAACTTTAATTCGCAACGGTCCCGAGTTTGACTATAAGCAGATGTGTTGTTGTAGTGAATTTTGAAAAATAGCGTTATAGGCGTCTGGAAGGATTGTACCGAGCAGCATCCAATGTGTTTCCCTTCCAAGCAAATCCCTTAATGTTTTTATTTATTTTTTTTTTTTTTGCTTTCTTACTTCAAGGAAGGAGATCTCTCCTCCAGTTCCGTTTCTGTCGTCTCCTAATAGGCATATAAGTTGTAGTCATGTGTTTAAAAGCCTATTGTTGTCTCCTTGTAAATCAGTGAAGTATAATGGGTTTGAGTAATTATGTATTTGTATTTAATATTTTTCTGAGTTTCAACTTAGATTTAGGAAATTAAAAGTGTAATATTTTCAATCGCTTGTTTAGTTTTTTTTTCATTTTGACGTGTGCGCCTCAGGTTATCCTTCTATGGAATATTATACCTAGATTACGTACAGTGTCCGCCTGAGGAATTTGTTTCACCAAATCCAGAAATTAAACTGAATACAATAAGATTGAAATTAATTTATTATATATTACAAAATCCAAGCTTCCTATTCAGTGCTGGGACGCAACCCGCATAACAGCGATGTTATTAGCGTGGAATAAAAGAGAACATTTTGAAATTTTGAAGGATCAAGAAAGAAGAAGTTTTTTAAATAAAATTTGTCTTCGAGTTTTGAGGTAACTTAATTCAAATTACCTTTATCCATTACAAGCACAGGTGACACGTTTATGAACTCGGTACCAAATCAAATATTGAATTGTTTTGAATGGAAGTAGGAAATATTAAAAATATATCACTTTAAAATTAACCTCTTTATAGCATATATTCTTAGCAATAATTCAATTTTCCCAAAATGATACTTATCGCTTTTATCTATTTAAGTTTTCAATTATTTATGATTCTTCACAAGTAATATGTAATTTACAAAACTTGAAGTGTTTTAATGAATTATGCTACTCCATTTTTTATCAATGTATTTCAAAACAATTGTGGAAAATTAAAGAAAAGATTAAACTCTCATTGCTACTGAAAAGCTTTGTTTGTACAATTTTATTTACATGAATACGTACTTCCTTCCAGAAATCGACAGAAATTTCCGTATCAGTTTAAAGTGGTATTGATAATTTTTATACTGCTACAAGGTTGAATTTTGCGATTCACAATGTTTAATGATCTTACACGATTTATTGATTTATTGGTTATTGATGCGTTCCTGTAATATTTATCTAGGCACCTTCAATACGGTTTGGACTATTACCAATTTTAGGACGTGTCAGCGATATTAGCTTATAGTTTTTCCACAAAATGCCAATACCCGAACTAGCGTGGGCGTTAATCTGTCACAATTATTGGAGGACGGGAAATCTAATAAATAATGAAACCAGACATGTCTCTATAAAAGATAATTTAATAAAACTCATCTAATTTTAAATAATGTAATGGTATTGAGTTCTTTCGCGTACCGGGCATCAAGCGGATGCAGTTGATATATTTTTATTGATAAGTATCTCCATAAAGTAGAGAAAGGAGCCAGTGAAGCTTATATTTTGAGAACATTAATTCTATTTATAATAGCATAATTTAATTCTGGGAATTCGATTTAGTGGTCGAGGTCCATAGGTTTAATCTTTCGTTGTTAGTTCTCCTAAAGAATTGATGAAATGACAATGTATCTTATTTTAAGTATTTTAAATATTTAAGTTAAGTACCGGTAAAAAATATTCGCGAATTATCAGCTCAATTCCAAATTCTAAAAGCTTCGGTATGAGACATTATAAAGATAAAAACAATGTTATACAACTATAGACCTTTTAATTGCATAATATATATACATCCATCTCTATTATCAGCAAATGAGACCTTCCTTTATTTGGAGTCGGGCAGGAAAACATCCGCAAGCCAATTAAAACTACACTTTTAAACCCTCGTCCTCGTCATGGTTTCGATAACGAATAAACAAGACTAAACAGAAATTCCTTTTGGACAAAAGTATACCATGCGCCTTTTATAATAATCCATTATTGATGAAAGTCTGTCGAATGTTCTATATATAATTAGTAATAGATTGCCAGGACTCAGTCAATGTTTTATTGCAAGAGTACTTGAACATCATCGGTGCTGGAAACATGTCGTGATGACAAAATACAATTTTGGATTGAAACGTTGGTAATAACACTAAAAAATTACCTGTCCTGACAATCTCTAACCCATACTACAATAAATGTGAACTTATTTATTCTTATATATTTGTTAATGCAATTACGCATAATCTCAACTTATTTCATAAAAAAAAAACAGGCATTTAAAATATTGGAGGTAACGAATGGAATCATTTCAATCATTTCGAGGTGCTCGTCTCCTCATTCCCAATATGGATCTACGCCTGTGAATACTAATAAACTTAAGCTATCAAATAATTAATGGAATGATAATTAGACAGACTATTGGAAGGTGCTACTAATGAATATCACGTAACCAATTAAAGATACGATAAATAATATTTTCGCCTGTCCATTTTATGTCCTTGATCTAGTGCGATCCAGTGTAGTTTTGAATAATTAAACCACACTTGAAGAAGTATGTAATTGTAAAATTAATCATAAACAACGTCTTGTGTGAATAACACCTGGTACCAATAGTTAAAACTGACTGCCACAAATCTTAAACCTAGAGCAGGAAATGTTTTCGGATATTAACAAGGTCTGCAAATAACCTGTTTTTGGCCAGTATATGTTCGCAATGACAGATTCAGGCTAACTTCGTAGGGAATAAATTTGAATGCAATAATTATGACAGTGTTTGCCCCGTTAATGCAGTGTATCATTTGTACAACGGAGTCCAGAAAATAATTCGACGGTAGTAATAATTTATATAAATAGGAGGACACACAATGAACGCATATATCAGATCTAATACGGGCCCGGAGTGAATACATTTTCCATATAATTATATCTTCCAGGGCTCGAACCTGATCCTGATTTACATTTACATATACATATTTATAATTCCCAACAGCATGGACCGTACCAAAGTGGCTGATTAGGCAAATGTCCGGCAAGATGTCTGAGGTGAATTATTTCATTCTTTTAATATAATTCACATTAGTCCATCTGTCAATGGAACTTGGGCCAATTACCTCTGAATATTCACAGAGGTTATCTGAGAATTTGTTTTCCCGAAGTTAATATTCTGAATTCTTATGGCAAGCGGATGGCATTTGTCAAGGGAACAGCGGAGGCTTCATCTCCACAAGTCTTAACGATACTAGACGTCTACATCCATAGAAGTCGATTTATGGAGCGGATTTAGAAGAGTACCCCTTATTTCTTAATTAATAGATTGTGTAGATATATTTTTTTTACAGAACAGGTTTTTCAGGATAAATTATGTGTCAAATTATATCGTCTTTACCCAGTAGGTGTCAAAAAATAATAATTAAAAATTAAATGTTTCAGCAGGAGTTAAGAATCGTAAAAAAATCCTTTCTCGATGAAAGCTTAATTCAAAAGTAAATATTAATATATAAAATTTTTCGTCATATCAAAAACATTGTTGCTTTGAACAACAAGAATGAATGACATACAATG